TGCGATCTTTTGTTTTATATGTCATTATGTTACTTCATAGTTCAATATAAAGATAATATGTCATCTTTTAACATATTATTTGAGTATTATATAAAAACTTTTAGCATTTATTTGCACTTAACGCAATAATTTTTATTTTGAGACTCATGCCTCAAAACAGCTTGTGGCTTATGCCTCGCCTCATGAACACAAAAATGTCTCAATACCTAATTGCGCATTTTTAAACATTGATAAAAAATATATATTATTCTATATTTGGCTTATTTTGTGGGAGTAAGTTTTATAAAAGATAAAAAAATAATCCTCGCATAAATATAATATTTTTGAACATTTGTAAAACGAACATTACATTCAAAATTTTAACTGATGAGGGCATCGCAGGAGATACTGGTGTGTGTCTATCAGAGAAGGTATCGAAGATAGACGGCTACGATTAGGAGTCTTTAGTTGTGATGGATTTTATGTATTTCTTTTATTTATGTTCTAGTTTTTATCATAGTACCCCTGAGAGGGATTAGTTCATGTTGTAGCCTAGAGGGCAATTTAGTCTGTGTCATTTGCCCCATGAGGCCTATATATGAAGGACCTAACTTTTGTATTGGATTGATGATGATTTTGAATGAAAATTTTAGCATTTGTTCCTTATCTTTATTGTGAGCTCTTGAGAGGAGAAAACCCTAAGATAGGGTCAAGCAATACCCGTCAGCCGCCAGTAGAGTCCAGGCTAGCAGTTTGTATATGTTTGTACTCTTTATTCCCCCTTCCTCTTCCCTATACCGCAGGCTACCCACCTTCCCCACCCAAATTCCGGCCAAACCTTCTCCCTCCCCCCAAACCCACCGACTAAGCCCCTTCCCCATTCCAAACTGCCAGCCAACTTTCACCAAATCCCCTACCCGCCAGCCCTACTCTACCCAAAACCTCAAACTGACCCCCTCCATAGCTGTCGGCCCAACCATAGTCGTCAGCCAAGCCAAGCCAAACCACCAATCCCTTCGATTCCAACTTCCAATCGCCCCTTTAATACTTTCATAATTTAGAGCATTCTAAATTGGAAGGTCCCTTAATTCAAATTCAAATGAATTTGAATTTAAAAAACATTCCAAATTAAAATAAACCTATTTTGGAAGCTCCCCTAATCACTACAATCTGAAATTAAAATAGATTTAATTCCAAATCCCACATTCATTGCATGTAGACACTTTCATTGAATGTGGACACCCCCATCCCCCTCCCATTTTTCTTGGCTGGCCCCACTCTCTCCCTCTCTCTTAATTAATTCCCTCTCATCATTGCTCTAAATCCAAGCCCCTCCCATCAAGGTATGCCGCCCCAAATATTCTCAATTAGAGGAAATTCGAATTTCAAATTATTCCCTCCTTCCCCACCTTGAATCTAAAATTAAATTTCAGATTTTCAAATTGGTTTTCCCTCCCCAAACTAAACCCTAAAATCTGAAATTAAGGCTAGCCTCTCTCTTAGCCTTGGCTGACCACCCAAGCCTCTCCCTCCTCCCTTCCATCTCTTCTCCCTTGCTTCATACATCATCCAAGGAAGAAGATACACAACGTACCCCTCGGCCTACTTCCCCATGAATGGCCGATCCTGAGCAAGATCATGGATTCGTCTATGATAATCAAGGACTAGTGGATATTCTTTGTTCCTCCTTCTTCGACATCAAATGGGAGATTGATCAATCCGCCGAAGACTACATCAACCGGATCTTCTTCTCCTTGACTACCGTTCTCGACAAACATCAGCGTCTCGTCCAGTGGCAAATCCTCCATCCTCCACCGACCACCTCCTTCCCAATTAACTTTTCTTTGGACAAAGCTGTAAGCGCCTTCTGTATTTTAGTAGCATCATTATTGTTGCACAAATTAATCTTCTGCTAAAGCCCTCAAGAGTGTGAGTGAAAGAAACTCAAGGTGCTTGCTCTAATTGTTAACAGGTGGATTTTTGTTACTTGTGCATCTAGCTTTACGATAATTTTGATGTTATTTTAATTGTCCTTCTAACCTATGTTGTAATCATATTCCAAAGCAAAACGACAACTAAAAAATCCTAGAATCTAATCTTGTGAATATTAATTTTAAAATTGGCAAGCTTAAATTTTTTATTAAATTCCTGCAATTCCTTTTTGTTTCACATCATTAACCTTCTGCACGCTTATGGTCATTATTAAAGTATTTTTTTTCTTCTCATAAATACATTGCTTATTCAAACTGAGCTCACATATTCTGCAAAATTATTATCTTAATCTTTTTTCTATCTACTACTCCTTAAAGAGTAGATGATGATGAAAAAGGACTAGATGGGGGATTGCATATAAAAATAAAACCAACCAGCAATCGAGGAGATGGGGGATTGAATCTGCAAATGATGGGCAGAAGAATGGGAAGTGTATAGGAAGGCAAAACAAGAGAGAAGTGAACATAATTCCAAGAGATGAAAGCAGGCTGAGGTGTTGGAATGCATATGTGTCACAAGAGTCCATCAGAGTACGGATGAGGATAGAGAAGATTAGTGTGATAGAAATCATAGAGGAGAAGGTTTCATAAGAAAGCGTGGCTTTATGATTTAATAGGAAAAGGATTTAAAGTGATGATCAATAACGGAATAGTAACTCAATATTGAAATTTGAGAAATTTAGATAATAATAATCTAGATATTTGTCAATTTGGTTGCTATTAAATTATCATAATTAACACAAATAACAATATCTTGATTAGCATATTTTATAATTAACAACAAACCAAATAATTATCACCTTCATCTAAATGACAATGCCATTTAAATAACCTTAAGCCAAACATACCCTAATGATGCTGACTGCAAAATAGATAGGACACCAAGTCATGGTACGGTCAAAACAATGCAATGCCTAATTGTTAAATCTTTAAAAAAAAAATTTGGCGGAAAGGTTATTCCTACTTTTGTTAAGACAATTTGACCAATCCTGATCCCTCTTGAAAGAGTAGGCTTAGGGTTGTATACAAACTGAGCGTTTGACAAAGTACTCATGGCTCAGCTAAATTATAGCTCGTTCGTAATCGTTTGATTTAAGTAATCAAACAAGAAAGAATTAAAAAAAAAAATACTTGATCGTTAAATAAACAAGTTTGAACAAATATGTGTTTAACTCGTTTATATTCATTAATGACATCATTTAATGCTCGTGAACAAGCTCGATACTAAGCTCATTAAGAAACTCAATTCATGTTTGATACAAAGATCGTGAACAAGCTTGTTTATAAATAACATTTGGAACTAAATATATTTATGATGATTAGCCTAAATCTTTATTTGATATATTTTCATATAATTTTAGTTTATTATAATAAATGATTCTTATTTTAAAAAATATATATATACATATTTTTTTGTTATACCTTTTCATTAGAATGAATTTCTTCATAAATAAAAGGTATTTGTTCATATTTGATGGATTGTTTGTTTAAAATATTTATAAACAATCTTGTTTATAAGAAGAATCATTTTTTAATATCGTTTATTGATGAACGGACTCGTTTAATAGCTCGAGAACACTCACTAGATATGTTCGTGAATGGGCTCATTTAGTAGCTCACTAGATAAGTTGGTAAATAGGCTCTACAACAATTATTTGTCAGCGGGCTCAATAAGACTCTTTTGTTAAAGCTAAAGAATATATAGAAAGTAAGCTTGTTAATAGCACAATAAAGCTCATTTGTTTAAAACTGGATAAGTATAGAATGAAGAGAACACAAAAGAAACATGAACATCTATCACTTTAAATGAACCAAGTTTGAACAAAAATAAAAAGCTCAAATTGAGCTCGAATTGAACTTGAACAAACTAATAATAAATGAGCTAAAATATGAACAAGCATCTGCTCAGCTCGGCTCGATTTATTTGTAGCCCTATTTAGACTTTTAATTGGCTGACATTCAGGCTACAGTTGAGGAACAAATAGTTAGTAGAAAAGAGGTCGATTAGTTGCTCACAATCATCCATTGCAATCAGGGCAAAAAAACTGCCAACATTTGTATTTTCGGTGATGCTAAGCTAAGGTAGTTGAGAAGAATATCCTATCCTTGGTAAGCTTGAGCAGATTATCAAGATAAGTCAATCAATTATGGACCAAGTAGAAACCAAAAAAGGTACAATAAAGTGCAAGCGCAGTTGACTTTATGATAATGTTTGCTTCTTTAGAGTTGGCTAGATGGGGAAAACTCTAGCTGTTGGAAAGAAGATTAGGCTCAGTAAAGGGAATGCTCAAGATGATGGTAGTGATAAAAATTCCGCAAGCTGTACTTCAACGTAGTCGGGCCATTATGTAGTCATCAAGAAGTTAGTGTTAGTCATTCTCTCGGTGCTCTCAAATAGTTAACGGGCAGTTCCTTGTTGCTTGGTTCTTTTATTTCTTCTATCTTTAAGGCCAACAACCCTACAACTCAGTTTTTAATTTAACTCATCTGTTAAGAGTTAGGACTGACTTCAGAGCATCTACCTCTTAATTCTTTTCCCCCATCTATAATTTTCTATGGGTGAGTTTAACATCTTTTCCACCAAGTCTAAGACAAGAAAAATAAAAGAATAACAGTCAACTTCAGTCCTATCTGCATATTATTGTTTCCACAAAGTAGTTATAAGTTGTCATGCCATTTCATACACAAAGGTTTTAAGTCCACTTCTGCAGAGAGTGAATCAAAGAAATGAGCGAAAAAAATAAATAAATACTTCGTAGATCAATATCACAGTAAGCACAGATCAATATGCTAAAAATAGAATAAGTAGACAAGACTGCTAAATTCCGATCTCCACTACCTAAGACTTTCACATGAAACGATCAACCTTTGACACATCATTGTTGCTTGTAACTTAGATTTAAAAAGGCCACAAAAAATTAACATTTCTATGAAACCTTAAGAAATTTTACATTTGATCAAGACGGTAGCTTTTTTATGCTATAAAATTTTACATAAAGAAAAAAGAATTTATAAACAAAAACAGCATACCATTCAAAAGTGAAGATCTTTCTTTGGTATCCCTAAACTGACGCAGACATTGGAAGAAGCGGCACAAATAAGGGAAGACCAGGACTAAAGGTATCGCAATAGAGTGACTACCACATATGGAATCAGCTTCAAACCATGCAATGGTAGCAACCTGGAAATCATCAAATTAATTAAATGCAATTGCAAAGCACAGTAAACATAGAAGAGCATCTCAGAAAGCTGTGTGTACGAGAAAGATAACTGAACTTAAAAAGCTTACAATATAAATACTAAAAAATTGAATGCCAATAGGTTTAAATGATCTAATTGAAACTCAAAAAAGGAAGATAACAAGAATCAACAAGAAAAAAGACGCAAATTAAAGACCTAAATTTCTTCTATTGAATTTGCATGTGAGATAAATCAGAGTAATTTTCTGTATTTGTCTAATAAGATGTCAATTAAGAGTTTGTGAATTAATTTTTTTGCATTATTGAATTAGTGAGTTAAAGATACTTGCTTCAATGGAAGCTTTTTTCGCTTTACCAGCAATTTCAATTCTACCATAATAGTTATTGCCTAGTCAGAAGCAACTCATTCCCTTAAACACATAGAGGAGTGCAAGACTGCAAGTGTCAGTTCAAACTAGGACCATCAATTATTGGTCCTGGGTTTGGTGAAAATGGACAAAACAGACTAGTTTATAACCATAGAATCATATGACAGCTCACACAGGTTGACTGCCATCCACGTTTGAACCACTTTAATAAGATGTATTTAAATGTCAAGTTGACTCCAAACCCAATCTAAAGCAAATGTAGACCCTTTAGCTCTAATGTTTTCTAGCCCCCAGTATTAACAAAAAATCAATTCAGGGTGCATAAATGTATGAATTACGGCACAAATTATGAAGCAAATTTGTTTCCAATCAAATAAACTTTAATTTATTTATCAACCTAACGTCTCACAGGAAGCCACCACTGGAGTTCAGACTGATCTTATAATGTCACTATTTAGCTAAGTATTTATCACCTTAAAAGTATTGAAGGACTTCCATGTCATTTTCACACTTTCTCTTGTTATTTTAATTAACTAAATTATTTGGTTAATGTGTCATTTTAATTCATGCTGAGGATTATTTAGTCCTCATACTAAAGATCAACTCCTATAAACAGTTTCCTTAGAACCGCATTAGTGTTCGGATGATTTTAGAAATTTTATTGACTTTAAATGTAGGCAAACTGCCAGCTTGCTATTACATTTTTTTATTATTCACTGTTCAGCTGATTCAGGATGGTGATAGAAAATACTTTCGCAAGTAATCCAAGAGGAAATATTTGAGTTCGCAAGCAACCCCAGCAATAATTGGCCCAAAACAGGAAAAAAACAAGAAAAACCTGGATGAAATCAAACTAAAAGAGATAGATTGTGATAGAAGAATCAAAACAAACAACCTCCAAACAAGATACAATTGATCCTCAATTCGAGAGGAGTATCGTCTCTCCCAAATCTCTAGATTGTGGATCTAGAGCCCAAGACACCAAGGAGACTCTAAGAGAACAACTCAAATCATGCATAACCCTAACCCTAAACAAACCATACTATTAATACATTAATTCCCTAATTCAAACATCAAAAATTCAAAATTTTCCTCTCTACCAAGCTGCCCAACCCTCTCTCCTTAATTTCCTCCTAGTGGGGCCCACTAGTTTGGGCGGAAAGAACCAAGGGAGGCGGAACTTGTCCTCCTCCTATAAACTTGAGCCGGCCTTTGGACCGGCTGGGCCAATTCAGGTTGAACCGGCCTATCAGATGGCTATTCAGCTGATTCAAGATCCCATCCGTTCTTTCTTTCAGCTCTCATCACAAAAACTCTTCCATTCTCATTTCTAATATCCCCTACTCTACCCACTAACCAAACACATAATAATTACTATAGTCCAACCCCTTCAGATTTCATGCCAAGGATACATCGACAAACCATTTTCTTTTTCCCTCCTTATTGACTATAACACCTCACAGCTGAATCTTCTTTTCAACCTTGCCATCATTTCATCCATCTCCAACCCAAGGCAAGAATCATAAGGACTCCATCTTCCAATGAGCTGTGACATCTTGTAAATTGAATGCTTGCAGATAATATGGTCATTAAACAAAAGAAAATGCTAATCGCTTAAAATTAAGTCAATATTGAAAAATCAAAAGGATATAATGCTAACAATGATGTTTCACGGTGCTCTAGACTTACTCCAATATATGAAAAATGAAAGCAAGAAGCTGAAATTTTAAAACTAAGAATTGCTTCTGTTAAAGTGATTCAAGGAACAAACCATCATTAAGAAATAATAGCAGTTTGAATAATTGACATTCTAATTGTAGTAACCTTAGCTATAAATATCAGACTTCAAATGATGTGCCAAAATCATGTATTATTTAGCAACCAAGGTGTTCAAGAAGCAAACAATCTAGCAGGAAACCTGGTTCATAATCTGTGGTGGAGTCACTGAAACATTCATAAAACTGACACTAAAGTAGTTGGAATCAGGTGGATAACAACGAATGAATCAGGTATAAGACATGAATTGGGTTTTTGACAAGAAATGGAAGGATAAAGATTTAAAGTTGACTGCCAAATAGTTAGAATTAAGCAAATGAATGAAGTAGCAATCTTAAAAAATAATAAACATATGTGAATAGGAATCTTTACAACATAACAAGTATAAGACTAACATAAACAAGACCAAGAGATGCGAGTCATCAAAGGAATCTTGCCTACTTGCTAGTTCCCAATCCCATGACATTCTCTGGAAACTCTTTGACAAGACTTCCAAGCCACAATCTATTATGAGCAGTTATTTACGAAGGAAAACGAGATACCAGTTAGTTCTCTGATGTTGGAATGTCAATCGAGTTGCTTAAAAGATAGCTCGAAATTGTTCATTATGCATACCACTCTCAGCAAACCCAAACCAGATACAGCAACCACCACAAAAACAAATCATGCATCCCATTAACGGCCTTCCACGACCCACCCACAAAAATGGCCATAACTGCACACTTCCAAAATGATTCAAACAAAATACTAAACCAATCCTCAAAACCAGATCATTTATCATAAACAACATGTACGCGCCGCCCGGAACAGCTGCTTAAATAAAAACCAAAACCAATTGGCTCAATCAGCAATAGCCGCAACACAAACTATCACAAGATAATCATGAAACAAATAATTATTAACTACAAAACCGATGTTCGATTATGAAAAATAAATATTAGAAAAAAAGAATTTACACAAGTCAAATTCACAGTTTTACAGAGGAAAAGTGATCTTGTAAAGAGAATCATGAGGATTCAAATCTCAGAAGGTTAAGATGACAACAAAGATGATGGACAGTAATTGCTTAGAAAAAAATTTCCACACCTGATGATTTACCATCCGACAAATGGATCGCTCCAGATCTGAGAGCACCTGCTAAGCAATTATGTCATAAATGGTTATCTTCTCTAAATAGAAAAAATTGATAAAGATAAAAGTGTAACTGATACAAATACAGTATTATACCAACTGAAAGAATTTCAATATTTGCACAAAAGATGACACAAAGCAGGGAACATCAGCTTGAAATAATATTTGAGCAAACTAAAAAGAGAGCTCATATTTGACCTCAGTTTTAATGCAATCACTTTGCACTAAAGCTTGCGATTCCACTTAGCCATGGACCTTCAATTTCCTATATACCATACTACCACAGCCTAGTCAGTCCTCAAGGGACACAGTAAGGCACGATCTAGCCTATATTCATGCCTCCTTTGGGGAATCTATACCTAATCACCTAGGAAGCATGCCTGCACTAGATCTTGGTAGCTCATAATCTAAGCATGGCTTGATTTGACCCATGAAGATCCCTCCTGAGCTAAACCTAACATACCTTAGTCTATCTTAGCACTCTACTTTGTCTAGCTTTGCTTTATGGGTTGGCCTGTCTAAAATTATCTTGACAACTTTTGTATTAATTGACCTAGCTAACCACTTTCCTTAAGTAGGTATAATTAGTCAAGACTTGACACCGAGTCAAACTCAATCCTAGAACACTCCAGTTTACATATTGAGTGTATCTTATACACCAAATTTGTTTGAACTCATATTATTCCTTTGGCCCCTAATCAGCCTAATTTTGATGCAATCAAGCAAGCACATAAATCAATTCTAACCTATGAACCAACTATCTTGCTTGCGCCACAAATAACCCTACCTTGACCTAATGGACTCTAGATTCGCCTAAATGGTCAACCTTGCTCAATAACCTACCGTAATTAATCCTTAAGTAAAATCCAAGCTACTTAACCCATTCAGAGACCTAGCCTCAACCTAGGGAAACTAACCTAGTCAACTAGAAATCTAAGATCCTATATTGACTCCATGGAGCCTAGGGAGAGGGACCTACCAATTCAACCTAAGTACCCAAGGTCAACACCCCAATCCTAAATAGGTCAATCCTAGATTAAATCAAGGATTAACCAACCCAAGTAGACCTAGAACTCACCTAGCCAAGCCTAGCTAACATGACTTAAAAAAATACTTGGGTCTTCTATGTTAGCAAACCCCTAGTACATGTGTATATCACATGTCTCTTGCAACATCTAAGCATCAAGCCCAAGCCCTAGAACCCAATTCCTAAAGCTCTGGAACCACCTAAATATCAAAAAATCTTAGAAAACCATCTCCCAATTTCCAAACACTAAACCAACATCAAATCTTGCCAATCATTTGATACGTGATTTTAAAGCGAGTAATTTCAACTAAAAACTCAGATTGAGCCATAATAACAAACTATTTCTTACTCATAAAATTCTGAGAATAACTTCACTAAATCTACAAGTTTATGGATTATTTATTTAAGCAATATTATGATTTTAATATTTTATAATATATATAAGTCATTACATATGATCAATAATTTTTTTAAGAAAATAACCAAATTAATTATCTAATATAATACGATCATTTTCAACATATAGTTTTAATGCCATGCATTTTCAAAAATAATAAAAATCTTTGAGTGCATTTCAATGAATTTTTCAAGCATTTTAAAATTATAAAAATACATATATAATTTCTAAAATTCTGTGAATTAATCTTATGATGCTAGGACATTGCTCTTAGCCTCTGAAAAATCATTTATGACATTTTGGATGTTTCTAAGAATGCATTTTCCTATTTTCAAGCATATTTCATATTTTTAAAAATTATTAACAAAGCATATCGCTTTCTGAAATCAAGAAAAATTTTCATAGTTTCAAGACACTATCTATGAGCATTGAAAGTTATCTCTATCATTTTTAAAAAATTTAGATATTACATCCATTAGTCCTTTTAAAATTATTTTAAAACAAAATATTAAGTAATATTATTTAAATAATTTTAATGTTGATTTAATCATATCTTAGAGTTAAAAAAAATTCATTTCACCATATCGATATACTTCTAAATTATATTCTTAAATTTTTTAAATAATTACCTTATACATGTCCATATTTTAAATTAAAATTTTTATAAAAATATTACTGACACACATACAGATATATACAGTAGCGGAACCACGTTTGGCTCAGGGGGGGCAATTCCTATTTAGATGGAACTTTATTTATTAAAATACTTTTAGTTTTTAGAAACACTATTCAAAACTGCTTGATTAAAGAGAATGAAATTTCTATTTAGATAAAACATTATTTAAAGAGGAAAGAACGTGTAGAGATCGACTTGACCGATCTCCCAGCTGATCCTGGACTCCGACCTTCAATATCGAGTTCTGATGTGAATGATAGGGGCAAAATTCGAATAACTTATCTTTTGAAGGGACTCCATCAACCGAGAACTCATGAATTCCCTCAAACATTAATATAAAATATTGCACGTAGGTTTAACCATAAATTGTTTGAAGAATATGTTGATTGGTTAGAGTACAACGTATAGAAAGATGCTATTTTTTGTCTTTATTGCTATCTATTCAAGCCCTAAAAATAAATTATGAAAGGCCAAGTTGATGGAGACTCATTTATTGAGGAAGAATTTAGAAATTGGAAGAAGAAAGAAAAACTACTTGGTCACGGTGAGGAGCATAATAGTGAACATAGCAAAGCAAGATAAAAATGCGAAAATTTATTGAAGAATTAAAAACACAAACTTGTTGCATTATGATTGAGCAAAGAGTATAAGAACAAAAATGATTACAGGGTCATGTTAACTACTGCAATAAATTATGTTCAATTTCTCTTATATCAAGGATTATCATTTCGTAGGCATGACGAGTCATTGGGGTCAATTAATCGAGGAAATTATTTGGAGCTTCTTGATTTCCTTGCTAACAATAATGATGAAATTAAAAAGGTTGTCTACATATGCAAGCTATAATGTAAAGTTAACTTCACCAAAAATTTAGAAATAAATTTGTTATGATATTATTGTTGAAACTTTGGCACATATTATGTGTCACACCCCAGTTTGGCCTACCCCTTAACGGTCAATCTAGAGTATAACAGAAAAGGAAAATCTAAATCGGTTCCTTCATACTAACACCAATTCTGAGTCACTACTTTCAGAATAGAGTGAGTAAAAAAAATCTATTTAGATTCTCATAACTTACCAACCTGTTCAATTCCATAATTAATAATGGGAAGAATATAATGTCTCTTAATGAACATCAAATATAATGAAAGTAAATACAGAGTTCTATTAAAACTTTTAATATTCATTCACATAACCCAAAAAGGCTGTACATTTAGCATTCAAATCTTATTTTAGATCTCTTTGCACACCCAAAACATATATACACCAAAAGAACGGTCACCTCTTTTTATTGTCCCAAGGATTCCTTCCCCTTTCCTGCAGTACAACCACTGCTAACGAGCTAGGCTCAATGAAATACACAAGTAATTTATAAGAAATAATAATAAACAAATAAGAAATGCTTAACAATGTTAACATAGTTAAAACACATATTGAAATGTCATATTGACCTTATAAGTGCTTAGCTTAGTAGTATTATTCATCTTACCAAAATTATTTAACATTCTTAAACAAGTCATATAATGGCTATAAGCTTTTGCACCTTTTCAACGTTCCAATTCGAGGTTGTCTAACTTCCAAACTTTTTAGAATGGAAGCTGTTATCTCATTCAGGGATGAATCAAATTTCCCAACTTCTAGAATTGATAGTGTAGGCTTACCTCATTGGGTATTTCGCATTTATTTTGAGCGGGCTTATTCCCCACATATAACTTATTTTACTTTTCATATAATCATCATTTTTAGCCCTAATGACATATGCTTTTAATGACATAGTTGTGCTTTAGCTGCTCTTCAGCTGCCCTTTAACAACCCTTTAATTGCACTTTAGGTGCCCTTTAGTTGCGCTTCAGTTGCGCTTTTTGCTCATTCACTGTTTATGAATATTTACCCTTTTATGTTTATGAAATCATTAACATTAATAAAGATTGCTCTCAACATAACAATTCTATACATATTCGGCCATGTTCATACAAAATAACTAAAATAAACTGAAATACCTGTGGTTATAAGCAAAATAAAATCAAGATGAACAATAATAAAACATTTACTAACTCTTATAACCTTGTTTGGGTATCTCACCTCGCTAGGAATTTGTTATCCTAAACTTTGTCTTCTTTTTCTCTTGTATACAAGCTCAATTGTACTCTTTCTCATTCCATTAAATCCTTATCTTGATGACTTCATCAAAACTGCACTTCAAACAGCATAACACTAATTTTAGCAAGTAATTCAGTATTTAAACGGACTTCCAGAATTTCAACCGTAATGGTAACCATTTCTAATTTCTTTTTCCTTAATTGTGTTGTCTGAAACTTATCTTAACAGCAGCTTACAACAACCACCCCCCAAGCAGCAACTCCCTCTCCTTAACTTGCGGCTTGAAAACTTCTAATGTTCTATGTCCAGAGAGGGACGGGTGGGGAAAAAGAAATGTTAATGCCTCAATAGAACAGACTAACTCCAATAACCCTTCCATTCATTCTCATCCATACGATCCCATCAGCTTTATGCATGTTGATTTAAGTGGAACTGCTCGTAACTCCACCAACTCTTCTATTCATTCCTAGCCATAGGATCCCATCAGCTTTATGCATGTTAATTTAAGTGGAATTGCTACACTACAGTACGTAATAAGGATCTATACATTAAAGTTATGCTAATTAGATACTTTAACTAATACTCAATATTTAAGTTAACTTCTAATTAAATTATACTTAACAACTATACAATTAATCAAATAGTTAAAGAATTTTACTTCTGTATGTCAACATGTTCGAATAAAAAAAAAAGAACTTTTTTACTTACATTCATTTTGGATATTTTGGGTATTATAATTCATTCCACCTTATAAAAATTTCATCCTCGAAATTCCTTAGCTTAATGATCATCAAACAGTTGAG